AATAGAACATGACAATAACAACTGTCAGTAAGAGTTTTAAATCATAAAGTATCCAGTAAAAGAAAGTTATTGAAGATTTGTGAACCAAAACTGAAACTTTTTTGGCTTTCCAACAGAACAGAAGTGCCTCTGCATTAGTTAAGATGTGCAGAGATAGGAATAATTACGGGGTGGAATACCTGAAGGCCAAATTTTGAGATGTAGTATTTACATCTAGCTCCTTTTGACAACAATCAGAAATTGAGATGGCTCAGTACATCCTAGGATTTTTCAAGGGCAGGCCTGGCAGTAGCATTTTTAGATTTTAATGCTTCAAGCAAAACCTTTATCTTACATCAAGAAATGCAACTACAATAATTTAACTTAAGTCATCATGTATAATCAACAAATGATTATACATTCAGGTTGTTGGTTGTACGCTTGTCTATGTTTGCACAGAATTGCTGTGTAATTCACATGTACACAGAGTTCAAATCTCAAATTACAACAGCGTACTGACCATTATGTTTACACTTTTAATACAATACATTCTTCCAACGTTACTTCAACGTGCAGAAATATTCAAACTACTATGTGAAAAACATTTTTGAAAGACTGGCATAATAAAGCACTCTCTATAATTCCAGAGGAAGTTATCTTGTCTACACAGTTCTGCAAAATCGAGAAAACTTCCAAGATTTGGCATTTGAAAATTAATATGGACTTTGACAAACACTGTTCAAAACCTTTCTCTTGGGCAACAATGTTTAAAAAAGAAAAATGCTGGTATTTAATTACAGTCTCCACAAGATCTCTAGAAAAAAATCTGGGAAGAAACACTTGCAGTAGCATAATTAGTGTGCCCTTCACTCAGCTTTATATGCATGTTGAAGTTCTCATACACAGTTTTACAGCATCACTCAGTTCTCTATGACAATGCTCAGTCTCCCATAGTGAAATTAAGTAAATATCAGTGGGAAAAAAACCTCAAACCATAAATATTATAATTTTATATTTTTAAAATAAAATCTAACTTTAGTTTAGAACTTTGATAGCACATCCCAGTGCTTTCAGATTAATCACAGAATCATAGCTGCATGTTGATTGTATTTATGTACACTCAAAAACCTATACTATATGTACACCCACAACTCTGCACCTTTGTAACTGAGAAAAGACTAAACGGACAAGACATAGCAGATTAGGTATTGAAAACCTAAATACTTAATTTCCAATATTTTAACTTTTGTATTTCATAACATCCATTATACGGAGGGTCACAAAATCAATCTGAATTTTCATTACAATGTTTAGAGAGTTTTAGTTTTAGAGATGGGAAATTTCAGTTTGCTACAGATAAAATTAATGCATACACTATTAATGCATACACTATACACAAGGTCTTTTTTTCTTAAATTTGCAAAAAAACAAGAGCAAAAGTCAATGTAATTTTAAAGATAAATATGTATTTTTCATACCAATAAATAATGTTATAAATCCTACTGCACTGAATTGCAAATAACTTCAGCTGAATAAAACTGCATGACATGGGATCTACTTATCCTGTATGTTCACAGAAACAACTTGTTCTCTGACAGCACTCATTCTTGGCAATTTATTGCAGCTGTCAGCAGCCAATTTGTTCAGATTACTGCTACACACAAAGGTGTAACAATCATGAGGATTTATTAACTGATTATCATAAAGGTGACAGTCAGAATCGCCTTAACATAAATGATAAGAAAGTAAAATAATTGCATTACAATTAAAATCACTTCACCTTCATTTTGATCTTAATATTAACTACATAACCTTACTGCAGTGTATGCTTTTAATCACAGGAGCATATTGATGATAGAGACCATAAATTACTTGTTCATAGCAAAGAGATGTGAATATTAAATGTACTCAGACTGTACAATATATATACACACATATATGTATTTTTCCTTATCAGCTGAAGCAACGAATAATGCTGCTTATGCAAGTCTACACACTTATTTGAATGCTGTGTGGCTTCAGCTCCTGATACTTTCCATAAAAAGAACTTCTGACCTCATGTACTTGGTCCTGGAATGCTGGTTGTTTTTTTAAAAAATTATATTCAGAAGAATGCCAGTATTTCACTTCCTGTAACACAAAGCTCAGTTCCGATCAAGACCAGTGTTTTCTCATACAAATCAGCACTTGACTGGAAATATATTTTCCTCAAGGCTTTTGAATGAGGTCTTTTCCCAGGATTTTGAAATCTCAGAATAAACACTGAATTGGTTCTGGGGGTTTTGGATTTTTTAGAATATTCTAAGATGGAAGTTTGCAAGGTGCTACACCCTTTAAACTCTCATGGAGAATACACACAACTGAAACTCAAAGGAATTTTATAAACCCATAGAGCTCCAAGTTAAGAATGGAAATCAAGCAGTCAGCATTTCATTTCATGGAACGTGCGTGGGCATCAAGATGAAGGCAGAGCTTTATGCTGCCTATGCGACAGACATTCTCTTCTCCTTTTGTCAACTAGGATGCAATGCTGTTACGCTCACTCTCTCAACATCTTCCTCCCTCTTACAAGCCGTCCCTTTCAATTCTGTTCTCCTGTTACATCACCCCAAAACCAGAATCTCACTTCCACATCTTCAGGCTTCTTGAACATTCTTCCTGCATCTTCTCACCCTCAGAAATGTATAGCAGGCCCAAGTCCTTGCAATCTGAGCACATATGCTGCTGCCACTGTGTTGCAATCCCAGCTTTCACCTGGTCTTTATCATGCTCCAGCCTAACAAAACAAATATACAAAGCCCACAGAAGTCTACGTCCCTGCCTCCCTACTTCTATTTCACAAAAGTGCAGCTGAGATATGGTATCACTCCAGGAGAGTTTATGGCATTCTGATTTGGAATAGAATTTGCAGGTAACTGAGCTCAGCAGAGTAAAAACACAGGTTTCCTGTGTTATTTTCCATGAAGATCTTGAAATTTGTCCCTTCAACCTTCCACCTGGTAAACCTTTTCTTCTGTTTTCTCAGTTTGGTCTGTTCTTTCCCTCAATGAATAGTATCTATTCAGTCAAGTGTGCTTCCTCCCTAATTATTCTTTGACCAGGTAGGACATCTTCAAGAAACAATTGCTTTCATGTGCATTTAATAGAAATATTTTTATATAATATTACAGCTGCTGCACGCACATTATTCAAGCAAGTAGATGAAAGGAATTACCCTCTATTCTTGACCACTGCTAGAATGGTACCAGGAAGTCTTTCCTTCCCACAGACTCATTATCACTTCTTCTGATAATTATGTGAATTAAAAGTGAATTAAAATATACCTGTGCCTTGAGAACCATAGAGCCTTCGTCATGGAGCACAAGTCAGCCATGCTTTTAGAAACTGACCTACACTTATCATAACATGTACACACAAAGAGAAAGTTGTAGTGTGTGCACCAAGGTATTTCCAGTTTTTCGAGGCAGCCTTTAAAGGAAAAACTGGGAAAGAGAGGTCAGTGTTAAGTGGAGCTGTCAGGTGTTGGTGATTTTTATCCACAATGACTGGAAAAGAATATCAGGGAGGGGAAATATTAAGACCTATTTTTGTATTCAGATTGAGCTTGACAAATGACAGTTTTTCATGGAAATCTTTATGGGGAGGAATTTGTTTGCAGGTTGCATTATCCAGAGATAAGGAACCAACAGAAGGTGAAACGAGAGAGTACCTGAAAGGACAAACTGAAGAGGGATTATACATACACTGACAAAGAGGTTACAAAAATCAAGAGCAGCAAGATTTTAGCAAGTACTGCTTGGATGATGGTGTTATAAAAAATCACACAGAAAAGCTTCACCATCTTTTGGATAAGAAGATAAAATTATGAATAAAATAGGAATAATTTCCCAAGGTATATAATATGCCAACATAGGACTACATTATTACATTAGTTAAGAAAAACAGTTACTGCTACCATATATGTCATGGAGTTTCATGATATAAAATAAAATCCTACCGTGTATAATTTTGAGAAGTGTTTTTGTTGATATTAAAGTTGTTTGCTTGACACAGACTCTGTGCATATTCCGAGTTTGCAGAACTCATTGTAAGAAATAAACATAGAATATTATTCAGCTCACCTAATTTGACAAAGAAAGCCATTACCTTAAATGGAACAAGAGGGAGGAAAAGGTCAGTAGAAACATTGCCATACTGACAACAAAGTATATGGCTTGATTAGTGGGATTTCCATTCCTGATTTTAACCACCAAAAAAAAATAATTTGCTAGTTAACAACATCAATGACCTAGTTAAAGCACCTACAACCAATACTCTCACAAACAACCAAAATAGAAAGGATTAATAATTAATAATCCTATTTTAATGACTGAATGGATATCAACAAAAGTATGATGTAAACAAATATCTGAGCTTTCCAAATAGCACCTACTTCACAGAATCTAAAAGCACAGTTTTTTCACCATTAGCTACTAGTTAATGCCACTTCCTACTCTTTGAAATGCAGCATAGCCACACAAATATTTCTTGATCTCTAAGACAAATTCACTTTTCCTGAATATGAATTTGGTGAATGATCTTATTTCTTTGCCCCAAAAGATATGTGTAGTCTTTCAATACTCTATTTTCATTCACCGAATAGATTGATACATAAACTTGGTCTTGCACATCTATTAAAAGTCAAAAGAGTTATTTCTCCTCCAAACTGGATGTTGCTGTATGGAACCTCCTGTATCTTAGTAATGGCTCTAAATGGGGGATTTTTATTTTTGAAAACCTCAATCTATCAATTGGTAAAAGCTGCCATCTACTGGTCAGTAAAAATTATTTTATATCATCAAAGTAAAGAATTACATCAATGCAGCAAACTGTACTGGTACATTGCAGAAAATCCTCCCCAAAGTTTTAAAAAAAACAAATCACACAACAAAACCAAGACCAAATGGTCATAAGAAATAGTTTCAACAGCAAGGCTCATTTTAATGAGCGCCAGGGAACAAGAAGGCTGGAATTGCACAAACCTGCCAATAAAATCATCCCTTTTGCCAGCATCTTTGTCCCAAACGGTAATATCAATAATTCCACCTCGTTCATCATAGAGATGAAAGTCAAACTGCTCCCTCCATTGTGGATTCAGAGTTTTTGGCACAATCTGAAAGGAGATCAAAAAAGAAAGTCATATTGCATAGTGTAGGCACATACATTCTTGAATTGTAAATTTAATCTTTAGAGTTTGTTCAGGAAGTTTTTTTTCTGTATGCATTATCAGTATCTCAAGCAGGGAGAATTAAAAAATAGTAATTAGGAAAGACTACTGGCCAGTTTTCTCATGCCTCTCTGACCTAACAGCAGCCTCCAGAATCCTTGCAACCTGTCCACCTTCAAAAGCCTTCTAAACAAAGGATTCGCCCTGGGAATGGAGCCATTTCTCTTTAGAATAATTACGTTCTCTCTTAAATTACATTTAGCTGTAAAGTTGTGTCTCTAAGCCTAAAGGAAAACAAAGCACTTGCAATGACAAGTAGATGGTGACTGTAAGTACTTAAACAAACAATTTTATCATGTCCTTTTCCCCAGCTGCAGCAATACTGGTAGAAATATGATAATATGGTTTACTTTGTACGGAATAAAATTTTTTTTTCCAAAACTATATTTTATTTCCTTTCATTTAAAACTTAGATGAAACTAGCTTTCTCTGCCATCTTCAGTCCAGTTACTTCTGACTTCAATGGATTTCAGTCCATGTACTTCTGATCACATTGTGCAGAAAGGAAAGTTTACAGATTTTTCTACCAAAAAGCAAAAGCAGTATTCACAGTAGTCACACCTGTCCTGAGCAAGAAACTGCCTAGTACCTTCCCTATTAAGGAAACCCTACTTCTTACACCCACCAGTTCTACTGGCATGAAAAAAATGGAAAATTCAGAGAGGATTATGAAAATTTTTAATTCACAAAAGCATGAAATTTGATTTCTTCTCATTTCAGATTAGGAGGCACTAATGCAAGCTCAGAGCTCTGCAAATATGGCAACTAAATGCTCATGCCTTCTTCTTCAATTTCTCCTTCGTCTGGCTGTGAAAACCACAGCACCCATCACTGCCATTGGGAGAGGAAGGTCACATGCATCACTGGCAGGTCAAGCATCTTCCATAAACAGCAATTTTCATAACAGTAGGGACCAGGGGAATAGACAAATAATAGCAAGAAAGCCAATAAAGTCCCCACATTAACTGTCTCCCTGATCAATCCTCTCTACTTGTGAAGTTCATACATAAAGAAGAGGAAAATGAGAATATAAGAATGACATGGTTTGAGGATAAGACATGCAAAGGATCCAAGAGCTAACCAGCATCAAGTCTGTAAAGTACTTATCACAATCATTCTGCATCTCTCCTCTCCGATGAATGACCCTAACAGAAGAGCAACCAGGCTGGTGAAAGGACTTGAACACAAGTGCTGTGAGAAGAGCCTGAGGGAGCTGGCATTTTTTAGCCTGGGGAAGAAAAGGCTCAGGGGAGACCTCATCACTCTCTACAACTCCCTGAAAGGAGGCTGTAGCCAGGTGGGAGTTAGTCTCTTCTCCCAGGCAACTATAAAGGCCTTAAGCTCTGCCAGGAGAGGTTTAGGTTAGGTATTAGGAAGAAATTCTTTACAGACAGGGTAATCAGGCATTGGAATGGGCTGCACAGGGAAGTGGTGGGTTCTCCATCCCTGGAGGTTTTTAAGATGAGACTGGATGCGGCACTGAGGTCTAGTAACTGTGGTGGTAGTTGATCAAGGGTTGGACTTGATGATCTCAGAGGTCCTTTCCAATCTGTCTGATTCTACAATTCTATGAAATAAAAGCCAACACAGTCTGTATGGTATATCAGGTGTGCCCCCTGGTATACCCAAATTTTTCAGTGCTACATTTTTCCCCATCTAGTACTACTTTTGTTTATAATGAAATAAAAAGAAACAACCAAACAAAGCTCCAGGTGCTCTGAAAACTATTTATTACAGCAATGTGTCTCCATAAAAGGTGAAAAAACCCAAACAGGAACGAAGCATTTCAAAAACATTTTCAGTCACATTTAAAATTACCTTGCTTTTGTACTTCTGATGCCCCAATCGGAACTTCACATATGGATCGCTTAGCCCATTTGCATCCATTGCCTTAAGTTCACGACCTTCTATTAAGGTAACACTAACTATCCCTCTCCATAGCTGAGACTTTCTGTGCAGGTCTGAGAGACGTAAGCTCTGGGTCTGAAACTTCAGTGAAACAAAAGCATAAACTTAGTTTACACAATTCCAAAAATTTCCCCTGCTTTTCAATGTTCAATTTCACATAACTATGAATTTAAAACAACCACTTTAAGCCATTTTGAATTACTGGATAATACATATGTAAACGATATTCGATATTGCATAGAATAACTCTGAGAGAAATAAAACAATGACAATTAAGCAGATAATGTCATATGATGCTTTGGAAGAAGCAAGCAGAACAAATGCTACTTAAGGAAACGTGCATTAAAAAAAAAAAAAGTGCTTTTTTTTCTGCATCACTTCTCCCTCTGCTGATAGAATACAAATGAATGGTACAAAGTCTCTTCTATTAGTAGTATATGATTGAATGAACTTCAAGAAACATTAAAATAAAAGAAAAAAATTGAGAATACAAACTTCCATTAGAATAACATAAACGCCTGTATCTCAGCCTCTAAAATGATATGGTATTCTCAGAAACATTCATTAAATACCAGCACATAAGTTCAAGAGTTTCTAAACAATGTTGCAGAACCTCTGATCAGAATTGTGCAGAAGCTTGTGGACTCCAAACCCTTGGCCACAGATTTTGGGGGTTAAAAGAAAATTCACACACAAAACAGTTGGTTATGGCTTTTGTTAATGAACTCCACTGGTAGCTGGGAGAGCAAGAGGCTATAAACTTGAGTAATTTAAGATAATCTCTCCAGTTTGCTCTGACCTACAAGATATCAGAACTGGGGAATCACCTGTGCGCTCCTAAGGAAGGTAAATGTGTCTTGGGTGCATCTGAGAAGTGATGTTGCCAAAAGCTTTCCCTTCTATTCTGAAATTTTATTTGTTCAAGGTTACCTTATCTATAATCAGAACACTGGATAAACAATTTTTAGTCTCACAAATTATTCTTATATAGCTAGTCTATATGTATACTCTGGTGTAATATATGCATTTTCTTCATTCTGCAATGTAGTTTGGGCAACAAAAGCTTTATGACCTGAGTAACCCTGTCTGCGTGGCTGGCTTCATCATTTGCAGACCTCCAGTATCTCCATAAGAGCTTTTCAGTGCAAATTTGGTTTGAGTCTTTCAGAAGGTAAATACAGCTGGATGGTTACTGCTGTGCACGTGCCCATGGCAAAATTTTACCTTATTATCCAGAGACAACGATAAAAAGTAGACTGGTGTACAATCCTTGGATTATAACCTGCACTCACCAGAGAGAAGTATTATACATGAGTACTGAGGCCACTGGGGTTGGAGCGAATCTTATTAACATGCTTTTTTTGTAGTATTGCAGATATTTTATTGGCATGCACTTATGTTTTCTAATGGTTATTCATCCAAAATAGCATGGTTACTCCCAAAATATTTCACTATATTTATTAAAGATTTCCCTTCCTGAAGTGAAGGATTTAACTGCAGAGAAACTTCTCACAAACCTACTGTTTCTACAAAGGCAAACAAGGAACTGCGGAATAACCTTTAACTTAACATGTGACAGCAGTGGGGCATCAGAAAGCAGACACTCTATAAAAATTAGTGCACAGTTGGGAAAATCACTTTCCAGAAAATACTTCATTTACAACTTGGGAACACAACTTAAACTAAAATTTTTTCTTGGCACAAATACCCCTTTCATTGGGGGAATACATTCAACATTGCCAAAGACTTGACTTGTGAAGAAGCGGTAGATTTTTTAATTCTTGTTCTAGTTTCTTAGAAGGCTTAGAGCAAAAGAAATAGCAGATAGTAAATAATCAACACTGACTCTACCCTGAACATAAGGTGATCAGAGTAAAGAAAGAAGAAAAGACCAGGCATGTTTAGGAAGATATTTATATTGGGATAGATGCAGTGATTGAGACTTATTTTGCAAAAAACCACACAATTCTTGGGGTTTTCTTGAAAGCTGAGTGGGCATTCATATGGTTTTGAGGAAAATAAGCTTGAGTTTGCATTTACTCCTCTTTTGAAGTAGATCTTAAGCATCACAGCATCGCTGTCTACTTCACTAATCACCAGTGAGACAGTGAATAATTTAGAGTATATTTGATCTGAATTCCATATTTTCAACAGCTCTTAAAATAATTTGCTGCATTAGAGCACCTGCTACCTTGTAAAGCATTATGAATTTTTATGGCCAGTAGGATATTTCATAACCAGTAGGGTTAATTTAAGTACGAGGTGACAAGGTAAGATCTAAATGACCGAGAGCTGGGGGTAAAATGATAGAGAGGTAAGACAGGAGTTTACAAGAGTCAGACAGGAGCCCTGAGAACAACCGTTCACATGCTGCTGGAGGAAGCCCTCCTGAGTCAAAGACACATCTTGCAGTCAACAGCAATCAAACCACCTTGCAGAGCCCAGTAGTGTGTTCACTGACAGTGAAGCTGCAGAGCCTATGTCTCAAAATGCTGGAAGAAAAACAGCTAGCTGCTAAAAGAGGTGCGGGTTTGTTGGGACTGTTCCTTCTTCAAGGTAGGAAATGTAGACCATAGTAGCACTCTTTTCTTTTTTATCAGTAACACAGAGGTCCAAGGAACAGCAAAAGGGAGATGTACTGGAAGTCAGGGTACAGCTCGCTGGAGCTAAAGCTATTGAGATTTCCTGGACATGAAAGGCATAGCTATATGGCCTTCTCCAGCAAGAATAACTTCCAGCAGTCAGTTTTCTTGTTTCCAAACAAGACTGAAGAGCATCCAGCATGCTTTCCTTCCAGTCAAAGTCATACATCCTCAGAAATGACATATACTAACATAACCTCTCATTTCATATAATGATTCTTGTAGGAAGTTAAAAAAAAAGGAAAAAAAGAATGTTTAGATTTCAAGTCAAATTTGACAAAAAAGCTAAGAGATGAAAAAAAGGAAAAGCAAGACTAATTTCACCTTCTAGAGTTCTTCCCTTATGAATTTAATGTCACATTGTGAGACAGATACACTTCTATGTACATTTTTGGGTAACTAAGAAACCACCTGTAAAATCCAGCCCAAAGTGAGTTGACTACAAAGTCAGAAGAGAAGCCATGAGAATAAAACAAAGAAATGAAATTTCTTTATTTATAAAATAAATAAACATCTTCATTAATTTCTCCTATGAAGGATGTTTCTCAAGAGTAATTCTTAGGTAACTTGTTTCCCTCAGCAAGTACGTCATGATTATTGCAGTCTGGTTCGCTCTTCCGCCACAAAAAGAAAAAAAAAAAATCACGAAGAAACCATACAACCTTTCAATTCTCTGTAAATAGGTAGGAAGTTACATATTTCATATATAATGCCAAAAGATGGAAAGTCAAAATATCAGTCCATAATCAACTGTCATTAATGTGGGATTATTATTCATATTATTCACATCTTTGAGCATTTATATGCAGAATACAGGCATGACAACTCCCATCTGACACGTTCTAAACACACCAAAGAGTGGGGTGGTGGGAAAGCTGCAGTGTGGCTTTCACTCTCCCCAAAAGGAAATTAAAATTTTAGTTCCGAAAATGAATCTTTCAAATTAAAGGATGCTTAAAGCTACCTGTGAAAGAAAACCTCTCATATTTTCATATCCATTCACTGCGCTTTAATGCTTCTACTATAAACAGTATGCAAACCCAGAATCTTCTGATGTGATAAACTTAGCTTTTACTTCTGTTCCACCTATTCTGTCTAAATGTAGAGTAGTGGGTGGGCTAGGGGCATTAACAGCAGAAAATCTTCTGATACAGAACTGTATCCTCTATTAGATAGGTTTAATATAGTTAGCCAAATGTCAGAGCTAAAAGATAACCTTATAACATGACTCTATGCTCTGCATGTGTTCAGGTATATCTGGGTAATATTATGGGGTAGGAAACCAATTAGGCTCAGGCAGAATCCAGGCATTTATCCCAGGTTCATCAAGACCACATTCTCAATGAATTAGTGTTACTTTCATCAAAAGAAGAGACACACTGAGTAGGTGGTTTTCAAAATCCCCTGAATATTTACATTTATCTTTGGCTAACTAAGTGACCTCTGAAATTTTAGCCCATACTGAGTTGGAGAAACCCCACACATTGTCCTCTCCCAGCACGACCTCACTTCTTCATCAATCAGCTCTCATGCCCTGCCAAGCATCACCTCACTCATTGGCATGTGCTTGTGCCCACGCAAAACAGACTCCGCTTTTAGAAAATCTCCTCCTTGTTACACTCACCACTAGGACACACTGCTCTTCTGTGTCCTTGAACAGAACAGAGAGAAATAGAACAGTGCCTACCACAAACTTATTAAAAAGTTTTAAAAACCAAATAAATAATTCAACTTTATGTCCTGCAATGGCATATCTATCAAAAAAATAACTTTGGCTTGGAAGCTTAAATAAAATATCAATCAAGAAATTAGCAAAAGAATATAAAAAACAACAATACTTGTGTCCATCACTAAACAGAGGATAGGTGTACAAATACAGCAAAGTGAATTAAAGCCAGTGTTACAAATGACTGCTGCAAATTCAAGTAAACAGACTTCTTCTCCCCCAGCTTCTAGGAAGCTTACATGACTTGGATAAAACATTTCAATAAAGATTGAGAATATCAATGGATATAGCTGCTAGTTCTATGCACCACACAATGAAAAAACCAAGGGACAGAAATATGCATTTGCAATGCTTTTCCTATCTTAATAACTACACAAAGTATGACACCTTGCAAAAGTCATCAATGTACAGACACCGAGTTACAAAAATGCCTTTGGTGCGATCATGATGATTCCTTCTTAATGTTTGCTCATTGTGACTAAACTGGTTTTGTAAATTGACTTCTACTGATAATGACTGCAATATGAAAAAAACCCACTTCTCTTAACTTTCTATCAACTAAATTTTACATTTTAGGATATTTTAATTCTAGGTGAAGCTAATCAAAATTTTTGTAGTTGTGAAATTTACACTGCCCTATGCCCTGTGTATTTTCATTATAATTGCCATGTTGAATGTGGTTTATAGTGTTTGCTCTAGTAACTGGATACTGC